CTTCGTCGGCACCCCCACCAAAAGAATATGATATAGCAGAGGCCTGACCGTCCTTGAAATTCACTTATGCTCTGTGACTCAAGAGTGCTCGTGGCAGTGTAGCCGAGTGGTTAGCGTGTCAAGCTATACTAGTAACTTAAAGAGACTTAGGTTTGGATAATATTTTATATCTTGTGATATAGTTATGATAAAAAAATACTAATCACCCTAATTAGTTTCATAGATAGGCATGAAAGAATGTTTGCTTAATATTATATATGTGTTTAACTAAAGTATAATATACTTACGTTTCTGTACCCGCTAATTAGTTCCTATCATGCTTGCCTCTCCTGGTTATCATTCCCCTCAAATTGTCAGAAAAGAATTGATTCCTCTTGCTGAAAAGGTTTCTTGATTGTTTCTTATTATCTAGTTCCTCACAGGTTCCTCTGCCGATTCCCCCGTCGAAGAATTCATCTCATATGTTATCAATCAAAAGTCTCCAACTTGCCGTAAAAGCAATATAGGCATTTGGCGAAAAGATGCCATTAAGGCATTACGCCTTATTAATGGAAGAAAAATGGTTAAAACTCACATTGAAGGCGAAAGTAGTATTCCTGATAAAAACGAAAACTATCACGACGAACCACCACAGAAAAGAATGAAAATATCAATGGCTCGTACATTTTATCCATTTTCACAGCAGGATTAAATCATCCGAAAGTCCCAAATAGTTCGATTTCATCTATTGTTTCTACTACTTCTTTTGAAATGCGAGTATGCTAATTTTATCTTATTTCCTCAGAAAGAATTTATCGTCTTTCTTAAATTTCACTTGTTTCCAAAGGAATATGCATCAAAAGTCTGGCCCACTCTTCTTGTATCTGGTCCACCATTTTGTGGAAAGACAACCTTGATCGAAGCTACTTGCGGTGTATGAACTCGATTTTTTATTCTTGTTAGTCTTTGAATGTCAATCTGCTTACCATATCTGTCGGCACAATCCAACCTAACCTAAAAGCTTGGCAGGAAATTTTCGATCAAGCCAAAGCAAGTTGCTTTTCTTTTTTTACCTTTAGGAATGCGCTCCTTGTGTCATTCATCTTGACGATATTGAAAGCATGGAAAAGCACTCAATTCCCGTTGGATCCTTCCGTGCAACATGCGCTCTGAAGAGCTATTTCCTTAAAGGTATCATTCGTCTAAATTTTGTCCCTGAGCTTTGCTAATTCGTAGCCATACAACTTGCTGATTGAATGCGAGAATTTATTAGGCAATTTTTAAATTTTTAGATTGTATGAATTCGGCCATTGTTGTTATCGGAGAAACTCGATCCTTACAAGCCAGTTTACCTTCATCAATATCAGATCTCTTCACTGAACGTATAACTTTTGGTATGATGGACGAACTCCTCAGAACAAAGTAGGTAACTTAAATCAGTAATAGTAATTCCGTTTATTCCACCGGACAAGTACAAAC